GCCCTGCTGCCCACACTGCTGGGGGGGCAGCCCAGGCTGCCGGGGGCGTTGGGGCTGCGAGTGCTTGGGGCCGGCTCCCAAAGGCAAGTGGCAAAGCTGGTGAAAAGTTTTGGGAAAGGCTTCTGTTAAAAGTTCCTCCGAGGGCTTGCACAGCCCTGCCTGCATGGTGGGCACGTACAGCTGGCAGTGGAGCAATTTCTCAGCACCTCTGGAGCTCTGTAGTGGAGGCAGGAGGATGCTGCAGACACAGACTTCTCCCTGGCCGGTCCCAGGAGCGATCAGTGTGGGTTTGTGCTGGTTTTGAATGGACCAGCCCTTTCAGGGCTGTAAATCACTGGAGTCAGGGTTTGGGGCTGGCTGGCTGCTCTCCAGAGAGCTGCAGGTGTTGTCAAGACAGGCTGCTCTCGTTGTTAAGCATTTCCCTGGGGAAGAGGCTAAAATGAGGGGTGACCCTGCAGGTCTGGGCCACCTTGAGGGAGGCTCTGGTTGTCTTTCTGGGGCAGAGGAGGGTTGAAATCCACTGTCCTGTCCTGACTGGCTTGAGGAACTTGGTGGCAGGTGAAACTGGAGCAAACTCTACTTTTGGAGGTGAAGTGAAGCCCTGATAGTTTGGGAAAAAGACTAATGCAGGAGCTGGAGGAGGCTCAATGCCTGGGAGGAGCCCCCCTAATTAAACCAGATGCACAGCAAGTGCTGCAGTGTGACCTCTGGGTTTTGTTGCCCGCCTTTGAAGACGCCTGCAAAGTTTTTCATGTTTAATTACGTGGTTAACATGCTAATCCTTTTTTATGAGCTCTGTGGGCACAGCACAAGCACCTCATCTGGAAACTGATCTCCCTTCTCCGCAGCACTGGGCGCCGTGGGCTGCTGCTGCTGCCAGCTCCAGCCAGCTCAGCTTTGGGAGGGTTTGCCACTCAGGCTGTGGTAGGAGATGAAAAAAACCCACGTCTTCCTCACGTCCTCTGGTGTAGGAAGGCTCCCAGGACAGGCTGCTGCTCTAAAACACAATCGAGGCTTTCATTCCAGTTGCTTTCTTCTTGCACAGTCATGCTTATTTACTGTGATTTAAGCCCTTTGAAGTATCCAGGCAAGGAGCAAATCTCCACGCCTGTTCCCAGACAAGCGGCTTTGTCCTTGAGCAGTGCTCTGGTCCCTCGATGGGCCTTCCCCTGCCAGGCTCTCAGCTTTTTCTTGGACACAGCATTCCTCTGGGGCTCCTTGGGGCCAGCTTTTGGTGCCCGTGGGGATGGTGCCAACGGTGGTGGTGGGGTGAGCTCACTCACCGTGCTCTTGCTGGCTCCTCTCCTGGCAGTGTTACCCTCAAC